CAGTAATTACAGTAGTTCCAAACTGTAATAGAATCCGATATCAAGCATATGTTCAGCACGAGGAATCAGCGTTGTGTTCTTAAAGCTTCTATTTTCTTCGTGTAACATGAATTTCTGGCCGATGCTATAATTAATCTAGGAGAAAAAGGCATTCGTTGGGGCAAACAAGGCAGTATCAGGCGAAGTTATCCCGCAAAAACGACCTCTCGAAGCGAATGTACGCGGATCCAAAAAGTCGCCGGCCAGTCTGCGACGCGAAACTGCCCCAAATATACGACGTTGCATTACCGCGAGCTGGAAAACTCGTTTCGTTGTTTCTTCTCGACCAACAGGAAGAAGCCACGCAACTTCTCGGAGTCCTTCTGACCACGAAAGAATCGTTACATTGAATTAAAGTCGAATAAAACGGCGTGCTTCGGAATGGCTCTGAACGTAGTCGGTAACAGACAATGTCGTTCCATCGCGATTTTACGAGTATTTTCGGCATTGGTGAAACAACCGCAAACATCTAACGACGTGCTCCCGCGCCGATCGAATCACGAACACCGCACCGGTCCGAATGGGTGCCGCTAACAATGCACTCCAAAATTACGGGAAATAACGTTGCATCTTGATTATTCAAAATCCGTATGGAAATACCCGATGTTGCGCATTGTATTTATACCCTACAAAATTTGCAACATTTGTAAATAAATTTAGGAAGTTTGTATTCCATTTTTCTGGACTGAGTGTACGTAATTTGCCGTTTATTCAGAGATTTTATATCAAGTAGAATCTTTAATTATTGACAGTAAAATTACCGTACCAGTCAAAATGACTGGTTTCGATCTTTTTATTTCACAAGTATTGGTACCTTCAAAGCATTGAATATTCGAAATGATTTTGAAAATAAATAGTTTCACTTGAATACCATAATGAATGCCTGAAGAAACTGAAAATAATCTATTGTTACACTTTTTATAGGGTCATGTCAATCGTTTCAAATGCTTGGTAGTTTTAGTTTTAATAAAGTTAACACATAAAATTTCATTCTCTTATTTGATTACTTTAATTTTGTTCAGGATTAAATATAAAAATTGTTTAATAACGAGTAGGAGTTGTGCATTCGCAAAGTTGCTATTATTTTCACGTCTACTTGATATGTTGAATTGCAAAAAAGAAAGAGTAGAAGTTTTGGAGCGAAGTGAAAAACATATTTTTGTTCAACGCCTTCAATGTTTTCATGATATCGAGAGAGAATGGAAACGCATTTGTACGTGGATCGTTTTGTGTGGGTTGATTAAACTCCACGCAAGATCGATTCTCTCGATCCTGGGGAATTTCTCGTGGCTTAATAGACCGCAAAGAGTTTCTTCGGTACACTTTTCAACTGTCTGTACGTTCTCTGGGGCTAGTTTACGCGATACGCTCCACTCTGAAAGCAGAGTAAAATAAATTGAACGAAATCCCTTAGACAAATTCCTTCTTGTTATCCGGGGACCGCAAGGTAGCCACCGGCCAATCCGATTGTCGAACCGCGGCGAAATCAGAGTGTGGCTATCTATCTTTACACCACAAATTCAATAACGTTAACTGACGAGTGAGATAAAAATTGTAATTTATTATTTATCGCTTTTTAAACGTTCTTCTTTAAATTGTGTTGGCGAATAATGAATTATTAATCGTAGCTTCATTTTCAATACCCACAGCCTATTACCTAGGTAACTCGTTCATGATGTTATTACGTGTTGAAAGCAAAGTGTGTGAGAGAACTGATATAGTTTATAATAACATTATCAAACTAATAGTAGTCCGAATAAATGCCTAAATAATTAGTGGCATAACAAAATTTACGTGGAGTGTAGTTTCACTTATGAACTGCCCTTCGGCCCATAGATTGAGCATAATTTGTTTTTCATATGCAGAGTTATTATCAAAAGCCAGACATCAATCTTACTTACTGCGAATGAGTAAATTTAATCTAACTTTCAGTTCTCCTAGAAAAACATATTTTTTGTTTTGAAATATTATTCACGTAGATTGAAACATTCATTACAATTTTCAGCGTAAAAATGCGAAACGGTGCGCGTTAACGCGTGAAATTTTAATGAAATGTTAACCATTTCGCGTCATCGAGCAGGCACTGCATCCTCTCGACACGCGGATCATTTATACCCGTCACAGGTCGCGGTGTCGCGGTACAAATGATTTCGAAAACGCAAGAGTCGACAAATAAATTTTAGTTTTACAGGGCTCGCGGTGCGCATGGAAGACCAATGATTGTTGCGTTCTATTTACAACAATAAATTTCAGCCGAACCCCGCATGTAAAACGTGAATTCGTTCGATAAAACTCCCAGAAACACGACGGGTTTCCTTTCCCGGCCAATGAGAAATATTGAATCCATCTTAGCATTAAATTCACGGACATTTATTGTATTGCTTCTAGAACAATAAGGGTTCGTTCATATTGATCGTGGAAATTAGATTTTCCAAAGCAGAGGATTGGGATACATATTCGTGTAATTGTATTTGACGGATCAAACAATTATTCGGCGAATGATTATCCGTAAAATTGACGAGTTTCATAAATATTCCGTTAAGGGGGTGTTTTAATGTAACTGAAGATGAAAATTTGGTAAAAATTATTAGCAATTACTAGCGCTACTAATTTTTAGAAACATATTTTTTGAGAGTTACACTTTCAATATAGGCATCTAATAAGAAAGAAATTAATTTTTTAAATGATTAAACTAGAATAATATCCTTGTGCTGAAATATGGCCCGTTTATAAAAACTAAAAATTTTCTTTGGAGCGTTGTCACGGTTTAACTTTTCTGTATTGACTGCAACTTGAAAAAGAAAACGTTCTTCGCCTGTTTTCACCGATTTGTATGTGGGGAGTTCTGATATTTCGTTTAATGGATCACTGCGTTCAATTAAGCTTCGAGAACATACACACATAGCAATGTTTCCCTTTCATCGAAGGAACGTCGCTAAATAGCGTGCACTTAATTAGCGATCCCATTGATTCAGAATTCAGTCCCTTGCTTCATTCCTCGGAGATGTGGAAACTTCGTTAACCCCTTGAGGTTCACTTTGCTTACTTTAGTGAGGTATACGTGAACTTTGTAAGCTTATTTGAATTTAAAAGTAAGGTAAGCGATATACCTACCATTAGCAATCATGTTTTTATCGATAGGCAGTCGATTACTTTATTACATCGAATGTGACCGATAAAAAAATATGTATTAGTTATTGACAAATAAAATAACTTCAAACTTAATGTGCGTTGTCGTCTTGGTAAGTAATTAATAAGAATATATTTACTTACTAAAACCATAGAACTTTAAATATTAAAATATTTTACTTATTCTTCGATTATTCCGTCATTTATTTTCTTACTAAAATATTGGTTACAAAACGTAATTGGTACCAACGATTGATATAAGAATGAAGCTAATATTTATTTAAGGATTAGAAAACAGAAAATCTAAAATCAGAAAGTCGTTTGGAATCATCTCACGCGCTGATCTTGGGGTTGAATAGGAGCGGTCGAAATTTTTTCTGGTCACTGCGACACCGGTGACTGATGTGCATTCGTTTCTCGCGCAATGCATGCCCAGTACGCCGAACGAACTCGTCGACTCGAATAATTTGTCGGCAAAAACTGCCACCCTTTCACTCCCTTGATACGTCTGCTCGCATTAATTCACGGTAATTTTCGGGTCGGTCAGTAATGAAGCGCGTAGAGACGTGCGCGCGACAGTGAGCCCGAAGTTCATTCCGCAAATTTTCGCTGTAACGATTATTTATGGCTGCCAGATTGGCAATTACGCTTGTTTCACGAGCGTGTAAATTACACAGCAAACGATTTCCAGCGTAAAAAATGAATCGAGCGGCTATGGATACAATTTTTTTGTCCCTCTTTTTTTCGTTACCAGTACTATTTAACATGGATAGCATCGAAGAAATAATATTTGAAATATTTGAAAAACTATTTTCATGTTTATCCACTTCGTGAGTGTTGAGATGTTTGCTGATTTAAAAGTTAATATTGGAAGTTTTTTAATTAATTTTTATGATGTTTATGTAAATAATTTGTTTATAGAATAGTTCCACTCATAATTTAGATAACTTATGATTACGTGAAAATGAAAGAACATCGAAATGATTATAAAAGTTCTGATATTTATTTCAAGCCTCACTAATTATGTACAATGTTTAAAAATGCACATGTTTATTTGTAGTGTTAGGTTACTTTGAATTGGAACTTTTAATTTTTTTCTAAATTGTTTAAATTCACAAAAACACTAGTATAATTCATATTGCACCTTTCAATATACATTTCCATTCTAGTTCAATGCGTCACTGTAAATGCAGACGTTCCAAAGTTCCAGTAATTGCCTAACAGTTTTTCAAGTTTATTTATTTTCCCAATAAACGTCCTTATTTTTGAGCGTGGATATATACGTATGTATAAAAAAACAAATTCCCACATTTCGTGACACGAGAACGTGAAAAACTGACCGATTTTTAAAAGCATGTAAGCTCGATTCAATAACCCATCGAAGCATGGAAGTCCGACACTTTATATCGTAACATATTGTGAACTGAACTTTCGACTCATCGACTGCATGGAAACGTATTTGTCCGAGCAACTGCTTCGTCACGTTCCCTGCACACTGTCATAGCAATAAAACTTTTCTCGACAAAATAAGTACTGTGTAAATACATACATGTATATCGCACAGTCGCCGTACCACGATGGCACAGCAAATAGAAAAGTGTGATTTAAAACGCAGTAACGATCGGCTTTTAAATTAACGAAATTGAAATGGTCTCGAATTATCGTTGCAGGAATTCCGCGAGATAACGTCGTCACATGTATTCCGTATTATTTAGTGGATGATACGTTTTAACCGTGACTGTTGCGCCGCGAGCGAATAGTTGGGCGCCGAAGCGGACGCGAACTCGCAAGTTCGGCTAGGTGTGTTCACGCTTTGTTCGCTTGTTCCCCAGGTAAATGCATATGAGCGTGAGGTGTCGCGGTGCGCGGGTGTAATTGGTGCGGTGGTGTCTGTGCAAAGGCCAACGGGAGGCCGCTACGGTGGGTTTTCGAGATGAGCTATGAATTTGGGCTGCCTCGTAGCCACCGTCTTCGTGCTCCAGCTCCTTCGGCTGCCGATCGACGTTGCAGCGTTACCCTCAGTCCTCAAGATTGGTGAGTCAAAGGAAAAATAATCAAATTGTTCGGAAATACAGAGATGAGCGAAAAAATGATAAAAGTAATTTTATACTTTGTACTTGATTTTATACACGAAAATTGTAAAGTTTGATATTTAATATTATTTTTTGTACAAGGGATGAATACGTGAAACGTTGAAACGAAATACAATAGCTTTGTTTCTTCATTTATTATGCGACTTTTAGTGAGGTTGGTTTTGAGAAATGTCGTCTATATTTCATCAGAAAGTGTCGAATATTTCTGATGAAGAACTTTCGAGTGCAAAACGTTAACTCTTTATGGTCAAATGCCGTTCTAATATTGACATTTAGTATTGTTTGTTTTTTAGACTTTCTTTCTCTTGGCTCTGTAAATTACGAGCCTCAGTACTTAATCTAATATTTAAATTTTTATACGTTCTGTTAAGTACTCATGGTTACCAGAATGGTGATCGAGTTTTGTTGAATTTTGCACGTGGTGTGCCGACTAATAAAACTTGTACGGTTCGAAGGACCACCCGATATAATCGGGAACAAAACTTGGAAATGAGTAGGAGGTGAAGTGGACTTTGACTAAAATGCTATGTGCTTGATCGAAATTGCTAATTTGTGCTTTGTAGTCCGTACTTCCTACTCCGTACACTGTGCTATGTACAATTTGAGCTGATACTTGGCTAAACTTGTTTCTCAACTGACTGGGCCTCCCAGAAACGTCTTCAACGACACCTCCGCAAGTCGTCTTCGCGGGGGTGAAGTCGTTCTGGTTGGCCCTTTAATTCTAGAAGTTTGTGGAAGGGAGAGACAGTCCCCTCCCTTCTTGGGTCTCCAAGTTGCTAATGTTAATAACTAATTCGTCCCGTTTGCAGTCGTCGACCGTGGCAGGTAAAAAAGCGAGAAACGCTTAGGCCCTTAAACACACATGCTAAACGGGCTAGAGAGTCAAAAATGCTGGTAACTGGACGCCAGATGTGAACAATAGACAGCGAAAATGTACAGTAAGAATAGCGGGCCTTATGGGTTCAGGGATTTATGGCTGCCACGGTCCCTTCTCGTAATACCGTAAGGACGACTGCAACTTGCGACGGGACGAAGGCTCTTATTGCTACGAAAAAACTAACAAATGTACAGCTAAGTCTTAGAAAGATAAAAAGTGTACACAAAACTAAAACTACGGTCGTTCAAGGGCCCGGACGAAACGGTAAGGCTATAAGTGGCCTTAACACGTTCTAAACATTTAATTCATGTTTATTGTACATTGTACTATTATAAAATAGCTACTGTTTTCTGGACTTATTAATTTTCATGTTAACTTTTTAACGGAAAAATGAAAAGAAACAGTATTTTTACTTTATTAACGTGTTCGGAGACGTGAATAATATAGCATTCATTTTCAGTGTGATGGGAAATGATGACAATTGTTGAAATTATTATGCACTTTTAATCTTCGGGGTACTAAGAAGATCGCCTGTCTATTTTTACAACTCATTGAAATTGTTACTGTTTGCGAGCATGTTAAAAACCTAACACACTTGAAAAATTAATAGTAAGTACGTATATGAACAGCTTCAAATAATTTTCCATTGGTTTTCGAGATAATGTTCAACAATGAACTTCTCCAACAGTATAATTTCGACAACGGTACCACAGCTCTCGGTACAATGTGAAGCGTTCCATCGTTACAGCGCAGAACTGCGAAAAATAAAGCGGGATTCCGAGTCTTTAGTATTCTGGCGATCACAAAGTTAAGACGTAATGCGATAAATAGAACTTCTTAATTCAATCTTGCGAAGTTCCGAGCGGGACAGCATCCTCGCTGCTTTGAGTAATTGTTGAATAATGGGTTCGTGACCGCGCTCCTCGCGAGAAGCGGCGCGAAGGCTGACAGCGCAATTAAAGTCGAAATCGAATATGGATGATGAATTTTCCTCGTATCGTACAACTCGCCAGCCTTCACAATAGATTTACCATCTATCGAGACGAAACCATGAATTATTGAATATATTGTATTCGACTTAAAAAGCACATCGGATCTTGGCGAAACAACGATTGCACCGAAAAATCGTTTTCTCCCTATAAAATTCGATGTAGTTCAATATTTTCCGCGCGACCAGCCGGGTGACCCGTTTCCCCTGCGAGCTTACGTCGGCAAAAGTTTCTCTGAAAATTTCGTGTTTGCGACAAGTTCCGCCGGAACCCACCGCGGCCAACTTTTGAACGTCATTCCTCGGAGGACATCGAACACCTTGCACGTTCCACTTGCGTTCAGAATATTATTGATGGAGTAGGACTCGCTTCATTCAAGCCGATAATATTTTTATGACGAAGCTGACTATTTTTCTAAATGTCGGCCCCTGCGTCAGGTAGATCTGGTTTATTTTAATTTTTATGGAAGTTCTGTCCGGAGAAATCCCTGACTAATTTTATTTGTTGGCAACGTTATATATTTGTGGTGGTCATAATTATATACCTTATACAGAGAAAATGAAAATAATGCTACATTTATCATTATTTAATATTATTAAAAAATGTAAAATTAATGTTCAAAATTATTAAAAAAATGTAAAATGAATGTATCATTATTTAAAATTATAGAATCTGTCTTATGTTTAGGAACTTAATAATTCGTTTTAGTTTCATTTGTACAATATTTTATTCAAAAGATTTGTTGGATTTGTAGGATATAACAATTGAGCAAATCGTTACTGAAACAGTTGATGGTAGCGAACGTGTTAATTGGTTTCACTCCTACTAACAGTAATGCTGCCAATCGCAAACTAACGTTCTACTTCAACTGATAGCACTGTTGAAATAATAAAGCCTAACTCTAACAAAGTTTAACATTTGACGAACGAGTGATTTCAAACAGATTTCGAATGCCTATTTGAACGAAACTTGTTTGCGGACGTTTGAATGGATATTTTCACACGAGAACTTGTGGGTAAACTGATCAACAACTGATGAACGACTATTTGATCGAGTCCGTTTTCGAAATAATGTTTTGACGGATGTTCTCTACAAGTATTTACCTGCGAATGACGAAATTGAGATTCACTTACAGGAATTGTTAACAGGAAAGCTTAACAAGAAAATTTCGTCAAGAAGTAGGGGTACACCAATTTTCTCTATCTTCAGTGATGATGGAAGTTTCTCTAGGTTGAAGTGCACGTGGAAAATTTAATTATAAAGTATGATCAAGGCGCGCCTTGACCTCGAGTAGCTTGTGAGTCTCCCCAACGGTTTATGCTGCTACATACTAATCTTGGTTCTACCTTACTGATTATTAACAAATCTCCCCAAATGACGTCATTTATATATTTAAATGTCGAAAACCATTGCAAGATAATTATTTTTTTATGAGATAAATACACGAGCCGAAGAAAATATTTTTGGAAATAAGAACTTAGAACTTTGACAATGATAAAGAAATGAATGAACGTTTCTGGTCATTTGTGAATTGCTATATTTTGTTCAAATTTTGGCAGTAGTAAACAAAAAATTGCTCCGAGATGGAAAATCATTCGTAAATTGATCGTCATGTTTTGTCGATTTCGAGAATATTCAACAATAGAATACATCGCAAAATAGGATGTCGATGCATCGTTTCACTCTCAAATGAAACGAAAGCGTCGTTTTCAGGGTCGTTTCTTTCGACGAGTGCAAGCTCTCACTGCTAGCCTATTGCAATGCCAAATTGGCCGTGCCATTTGCGTGACTCCGCCGCTGCTATTCGAACGATGCTACCGCGTTTCGAAGGATCGACACTCGCCGCAACACTGTTCAAGTCCCCGGGTAAACGAGAGGCTCGGTTAATGGACCGCCGTAAGTCATTCCATAATGAACATTAGTCCCCGCATTTCGCTGGTGCCCGTACGTTACTCTATTCCAATTAACCGGTTCACAGAATTTTCAATGGGCACAGGCTGTATCACGTTCAAATTTCGTCCGGCGATTAATTGCGTTTCATTGGAATCGCAACGTGTGTAGTTTAATTAAATGTAAAAGTACGTTGTAAATAACGATAAAGAGTATATCCGAAAGGCATAGACGGATATTGTAATAAAAGGATTTCTTCAACTGGATTAAACCGTTCCGCAAAAACAATATCCGTCGCTGCATAAATAATAAGGACTTGCAGAAAAACGACCAACGTGCAAGTACTTCGTAGTCATTCCACACAGTTGATTTTAATTGTGCAATTTATTTATCCTTTTCTCCTTGTCGAAATACTTTATTCCGCGTAAATTTTTGCAAGCGTTGCGGGAAATAATATAAAAACTTTCAATTCCAATTCATTTTGTAATAACCTACCTCGAGTAGAATGTTGAAACTTGGTAAACAATGTTTTTCTTTGATAAACTGACGAACTATCATCGTCAATTTAATTTGATTGAAGAGCACTTTCGACACCCTCATTCAGCCGTAGTCTTCTTCTTTCTCCTTTTTCATTTTCAAAGTGTTCGCTTGAATACATTATCGCCGATGGGCAGAGGAGATGCATGTCTCGCGTCGCTGTTAGACAGCTTATACAACTTTGAACTATCTCGGAATGATATTACTGGGCTCCGAGAACTTTTGCCGGTAGCGCAACTCATGACACACAACACCGCGCTTTTCTTCTCTTCTCGCAGTCACCCTTGAACGCAGCTCTCGCAATGGATGAATAGATAACAAGCGCTGCCGTCCGTTCTACCAGAAGATTTTCCTTTCAAGGAATGAAAAAAGAACGTGAAACCATCGGCCCGTACTGAACCTATCGAAAGAATGGCGACGGACGATTAAACACATCTCTTTCTTCGTGTCCCATCGCTTTGCGTTCATTAAAAAAAGCATCATGAGGTGTCATGCTCTAACAGAATCTAGACTTCTCCAAGAACAAATTTTTCTGTAGTCCCGATGATGGAATTGTAGAGAGTCGGGTTTAATATCTCTTATTATGCGACAGGACGGAAAACTGGGGTGAATTTATGAACTCATCGATTTATGAACTCGGAGAGTTCC